AGGGCAAATTGCTTGATATTTCCCAAAGAACGTTCCTAACACCAACAAGAGATCTGCTATTCTTGGTTGTGTGTTTGCTATGTCTAAAGAAGAGATTAAAGCTTTCCCAAAGCTCATATGAGGTATGTCCAGAGAGATATTACCCAGAGAATGTTCCTAACACTGATTAGAGGTCTACTATTCCTGATCGTGTGTTTGCTATGCCTAAAAAGGAGGTTGAAGCTTCCTCGAAGCTCATCCGAGGTATGATTCATGTTGGTAATCATGATATTATTTCTTTGTTTGATTCTGATACCACTCACTCATTTATTTCTGATGAGTGTGAAAAGCTTGTGTTTGCATGTGATTGAAATGCCCTTCTTGATGAATGTGTCTACATCGAGTGGAGCCTCTGTGAAAACTAGCCGGGCTTGCTTGAAAGTATAATTGAAATTTAGTGAGATAGTCACAAGTGTTGACTTGATTTGCTTGCCCATGACTGGAATTGATGTAATAATTGGCATCGATTGGTTGTTTGCTAATAGAGCTACTTTAGACTGTAATAAGAAGATGGTCTCATTACCGGTGTACACGGCAACCATAGTGAATGATAAAATTGCATAACTTGTGTCTATGACTACTCCAGAGACCTCCAAGTTCTTGTCAACGATATAAGTTGAGAAATTAGTGAGGGAAGGATGCCAAGCCTTTATAGTGTTCTTTTCAGTGCATGGTGTGTATGATGATGCAATAGACAAGATTGGAGTTGTGAACAAGTTTCCTAAGGTGTTCCCAGATGAAGTGACATATTTGCTACTAAAGAGAGATATAGAGTTCTCTATCGGCTTGGAACCTAGTACCAAGCCAATCTCTAAGGCTCTGTATCGGATGTCTCCAACAGAGCTGAATGAACTTAAGAAGTAGTTAGAGGAATTGCTAGAGAAGCAGTTGATTAGACCAAGTGTATCACCTTAAGGTTCGCCTATTCTGTTTGTCAATAAAAAAGATGGTAGTATGAGATTGTGTATAAATTATCGATAACTAAATAAGGTGATAATTAAGAACAAGTATCCATTACCTCGAGTTGATGACCTGTTAGATCAATTGGCTATAGCAGTAACATTCTCTAAGATTGATTTGAAATTCAGCTATCACTAGTTGAGAGTGAAAATGGATGATGTGCCGAAAACTACTTTTAGAACAAGATACGGGCACTAAAAGTTTCTTGTTATGCCCTTCGAACTAACAAATGCACCAGCGATCTTTATGGACTACATGAACTAAATATTTTGGCCCTACTTGTTTGGAGCTAGAATAAGGGGAAACAAGAATTGGTTTTAATACTTGTAGAGATCTAGATCGTCCAAATTTAAGATTCTTATTTTCTTATTAAAATGAAAATTTAAAAATTTTAAAAAATCTATTTTATCATTAATTTAGACCATACAAATTTAATCTAGATAGTCCAATTAAATATTAAAAGTTTGTAGAATTTTTATAAATTAATTATCTATATATATTTGGGCAGTGTAGATTTAACATTAATTTTTAAAAAAATTTATACATTTTTTATTTTGATAAATATAATATTAAAAATAAAAATTTTTGGAAGTAAGGGTGACCGAAACTAGTTTAAAAAAGGGGGGGAGAGCAATTATAAAAAATTTGAGAGAGATTTGTAAGGTGGGCATAGGTATGTCACAAAACAAACTTCAACATATATTAAAAAATAAATTAAAACTCGGTTTTGCATAGGCCATTTTTCATATCAGTGTACTTAGCTTAACAGAAGCCAATTTTTCATATCCTGGTAAATCATTTTAAAAGTATAGCATTTGGGATTTTTTTTTAATTTATAACATTTTGCTCCATTTGCCGGTTTTTTCGAGACTAAGAATGATTCACTGCTTATTGGCTCCCTTGATTGCACACGTTTTTGCATCTCAGTAAAATTAAAAATTAATGGAAGTAACGTGAAAAACAAATAAAATGCCCCACCCCAATAATCTCAAGGGGAACCAAACTCCCTCATAATCAAGGTTTCTCAGCGTCTCCTGGCAGCCAAATCCTAAACATTCAAGTGATCAAAATCCCACAATGCACATATCACATGACTTTTAAAACTCCTAATTGGACTAGCCAAGAAACTAGTTCACCGCTAATTTTTTTCATTGTAGGTCACATATGATTAGGGCCTCACTGACTTAATCTATTTAATAAAAAGACTAAAAAGCTTGCAATCAAACATGTTTAAATAAACAAGCCAGGTTTATTTACTTAAAAAACGGCTTGTAGGCTTATTAGGCCTACTTTTTTATATTTTTATATTATATTTATATAAGTAAATATTATTTCCTTTTATAAACTTGAAGGAAAATTTTTCTCCAAATCTGATTATATTATCAAATCGATGTAATTCTTGTTAACTCTTCAAAGGAATAATTTTTTTTTTTCTTCTATTTGACGAGTCCACTAAACACCACTGAAAAAGTTATATTTTTTACATATTGGATGTGTCCAAGTTGACATTAAACCACTAATTAGGGAAAGATTAAACATTTCTTGTCTCCTTTGCATTAGAGATACACAACATGAATTATTCTCTGACTCATTGTTAAATACTGTAGAAGCTAGCTTGCATGCAAGACCGATCTATTTTAACCGTTATCCAAATAGGACTGTAAGTCTTATGGATGAAAACATTATGGATGTTTTAAAATTAAATGTAAAACTATATGGTTTTTATATGAAACCATGATCTATCCCTCTAGCTTTGCTCCATAGGATCTAGTATAAATTCATAAACTCTTCAAGTTTTAGAGTCTTAATACCAAAGGAAGAAAGTTATATCAATTTAAAAGTCAGTTACAACCACACTAGTTTTACAAGGCTCATTTAAAAATCTTTGAGATGGTGTAGATCTTTAATCTTCCTCATCCCTTTGATAGGTTGGCCTTGAAATACTGAATGATGTGTCCAGACCTTGTAGATTTATTGTTGAAGTTATAAATGGGGGTACGGAAGAGGTTATATGAGTAAATATTATTTCTTCCTTTATATAAATATAAGTAAATTTGTATATAACATATTATAATTAAATTAAATTAAATTTTATTAAAATATTAAAATAAATAAACATGCCTGTAGTGGCCTCCAACCAAACCCGTTTAAATTTTAGCCTAATCTATTTAACAAAATAAAAAAATCAAGCTTAAATTTATAATTAAACTTATTTTTATAAATAAAATAGGCCCGTTTAGCCAAAATTTGATAATTCTGCCCCTACATATAATCATCCAAAATAAGTCATATTCATAACTCTATTTGTAAAATCTTTGATCATCTTTCAACTTTTGTTACTCCTTGAGATGGAGGAGGAGGATTAAAAATGATTTTTGCTTTGTTTAATAGGCTTGTTATCTCTCTGTCCTTGTTTTCATAATAAATATCCAGTTTTTCATTAAAAAAAATCATTCAAAATGTGATTTGATTACTATTTAAAAACAAACTATTCACGCCATTTTTAAGAGCAATTTGATGTGTGCATTGTGTGATATTGATCATTAAGACATTCAGGATTTAGCCGCCTAGAAACGCTGAGAAATCCCGGCTTTCAGAGGATCCGGTTCCCAGACACTTTCAGGGAGGGTACGTAGGTCTGACGAGAGAAATATTATTGGAACTAAAACAACAAAGAAGTAAAATAAAACTGTAAATAAAAACACCATTCAGTCAAACTTGAGTGCTCGAGCTCGAAATCGGCATATAGAAGGCAGTGGAGACTTCTGGCCAATTAAAACACCATCCAGTTAAAAAGCTGAATCATCTCATCAAATATATGAATGCCCCTCCTCATAAACGCAACACAAGTGAAAAGTTGACATTTGGCTTGTGTGACACATTGCAAATATCTTGGTGCCCAACTGCAACCCAATTCCTTCAAAATCTACAAAACCAACTTCCATTTTATCCTGTACGCAGAAAAGCATTTTCTAGAAAAGAAAATAGAATAAGTACATTCTCATTTCCTTTTTAGAAAACAGATTTCCACCTACAAACATTGCATTACCCATCATCTAGCTTCCTCATGAGATTCAAATTCCACACCTCAATGATGAGAAAGATTCCACTGCTGTGGCAGAGAGAGAAAGAGATGAGTTTCCTATTGAGAGAACTTCCACCAACCAAAGGCTCCCTTTGTCAAACTTGTGAAGTGAAGCAATGTAATCAATACAAGTTAAGGGAAGGGCCTGCTTCTTTGTTCAAAAAGTATGGCTTCTGAAGAAAACCAAAGTCACACACAAATCAACTTATCGTCCAATGTACATGTTAATGAATTCCACAAACATGCAAGAGCACCCTTATTCTTCATCACTTTTTGACAATATGTGAACTAAATTTGCATAAAGTTACAATTAGCTACAGATGATTTCCCTAAACAATTCCTAGGCAAGCAAGAATGAAAGTAGCTCTTTAATAAGCAAGTGAAGGCATTTTGTACAAGGAAGTTCGGTGATAAATAATATTACAATGCTTAAAACGACTATGATTCTCAGAAATCCAATCAAGATTTTTCAGATCTTAAACAACAAACTGGGGTTTTCAAGGCTAGAGGACAAAATAAGACTTGCAACAGTTAACAGCAAGTAACATCTGAGATGAATCGCAATATATTATTTCGTTAAAAGATTTATACAAGACAATCAAGAACCTACGCCAGTGAACAGGCTGTAAAAAGCAAGCTATATAATCATCTATAACTGTAAAACATTAGCCATGAGCTATCAAAGCTGGGGCTAACTTAACAATGTTTTATTGATTTGTCAGCACAAATATTTACCGACTACATCCGGAAGTGCATTTCCCATAGGAGGTACATTCCGCGTCGATATAGGTATGCCAAATGTCACTCTAATCTAACTATCCCTCACAAGGGCCGATATAAAGCACTAAAATTAGACACACGTCCTCATCTTTTCTATTGGGCATTTCAATAAAATTACAATAGATAAAAAAAAAAATTCAAAAAACCCAACGTCATATTGAGCTGCTAAAATCACCTACTTATAATGTTACTGATACTGTAAACTTTTAATTGAGAAAATGAAAGTAAGGACATAAGTTACAGCACATATGCTTTTTCGTAATATAAAATTCCAGTCCAAAGTAAGCATCTTGAAAAGAAATCTACTTCTATAACACCAAGCACTACAAAATTTGGAAACTAAAATACATGATGCTAACATTTGAATACAATGTAATTAGCTGTTTCTTCCCTCTCATCTCCAGCTGATCCTGTCTACTCTGCTTCTGCAAACTGACTCCAAGAGAAACTAGTCCCTACAAACCAAAATATAACACATTAACCTTTATAAATACACCCATATTCATATTTTAAAGAGTTAATAAAATACACACATTCATCTATTTAGTCTGTCTGATCATAATCATAAAGAATGACGATGGTAGAAATTTAAATATTAAAGGATATCAGCATCCAATCAAGAAATTACATCTATGAAAAATCCATCAAGTTGGCCACAGTGTAGTTGGCACATCCTCACATCAGTTCAGCAAACACAGAACAACAATAACATAGCACAAATGGAAATGCACTAGACAAGACTCCTTAATCAAATATGACTAAGCAAGAAAATTTACTTACCAATATTTTATCAATCCATCCCAGCCACATGTTGCTACCTTACTTTGTTCCAAAGGGTGCCACTCACATCCAATGCAAACACCTTCATGACACTTAAGAGTCCTGAATACTTTGCAACTCTTCCAATCCCAGAACCAACACTTACCCTCCCCATCTCCAGATATGACAAAGCGCCCATCTGGGGAAAAATTCACCTGACACGCATATCCGGCAACAATGTGTCCGGCAAACCTCTTTTTCTTGTTAAGTTGAAACTTCTCCCTAGTGCTATATATAAGGATTTGATTATCCAAGCTTTGTGCAGCAAGCCAATTGGAGTTAGGATGAAGGGAAATGGATGGCATAGAATGCATGTGTGGTTCACTAATGTACTTAATAACCACAGGAATACCAAATTCCCATACTCGGAGAGACTTGTCATCGCTAGAAGTAACAAATCTCCTGTTGTTATCAACAAATGTGATGGTATTCACAGCCCCCAAATGCTGATCATACTCTTGTGTTATTTGCCCAGTATTCATATCCCACTGAACAATCTTTTTGTCACTCATACCAGCCAACAAAACATTTTGCTTATCTTCATCAGGATTAAGCTTGACCACATAAGGGATTTTCCCAGTTGAGAAAGTTGATATCACTTGACCTGTCTCCGTATCCCAATACTTGATATTTTTATCATAACCAGCACTCAAAAACTTTGTCCCATCATTACTAAAACAAATGTCCCTGACTGCTTTAGAATGACCCATATACGTTCTCATGCATTTACCAGAATGGAACACATCCCAAATCTTCACCTTTGTATCCATGCTTGCCGACAAAATCAAATGCCCATACTTAGGGAAGAACCGAATAGCAGATACGCCCTTGGTATGCCCACTCCATGTATGCACAAGCCTTTTGGGAATATAACAATGATCGTTACTAGCCTTTGCATCCTTTGGAGGTGCAATCCAAGACCTACCCTGGTAATCTCTTTCCTCCTTCCCGTGAAAAGTACTCTTATCTTTGACAACCTCACCTTTCTCACCTCCAAATCCACTCTTTTCTTCTCCTTTCTTCTTGGCATACTCTTCAGCATATTTCTTCTGCTCCTCAGTTAATTCAGTTTGCAGCCCTTCCTTTTTACCCGCCCATGGGCTCTTCTTATTCTTCAGTAACCATGTATCAGTGGCTGGGTTATCAACCTCAGTCATGTCAACATCATCTCCCTCTACATCCTCATTGTCCTTTGATTCTTTCTTCTTTTCAAGCTTCCTTTTCTTCTGTTCATGCTGCGGTATGTTGTAAACTGAAATTGCATCATTCTTCTGAAGTGACTCCAAGTCCCCAACATAATTATACCCAGCAGAGGCTGACGGGTCAGCAGCATAGCCAAACTTGTAGAAAGTATTATACTGCTCATCAAAGACAAAGGGCTCAATAGAGGCATCCTCTACAAAACCTAACTTGTGATTGCGCATGCCTTGGGCAATGCCATCTTTGGCATATGGATGCGCAGGGCCATAAAGAGGTGCCCATAGCTGGTCGTAGGTGGGGTTGAAGGGGACAACATGCTGGTTGGGGTCAATGGGTTTTGTGAGGCTTTGGTTGAATTGAGCGACGGTGACGGCAAGCATAGTGTCATCAACCTTGGGGGCGGCAGATTTGGCAGGAAGAAGGCGGGGCGGGGAGGATTCCGGGGAGGAATTAGGGTTTTGTTGGTCGTGGTTATCAGATTCAGCCGCGCCATCATCGTTTTGATCTCCATAGTTCTGAAGGAGATCCATTTAGGTGTTGGTGATGGAGAATTGGGTGGAAAAAATTCAGTTAGAAAAATCAACTTAAATGACGCCGAGGAAGGGAGAAGAAGAAGGAATCGACAATAAAGCAGGAACAGGGAAAGGAATGAGAGGACCTACAGCAACATCCCGCACAGCAACGCACAAACAGAGGAAGAAGGGAAGGATTCGAATACACCCTCGGCGGCCTGCGATTGGAAGGATGAAGGAGGAGGGATGATGGTGGGATTCGACTCTCGCTGGACTTCTGGAGAAATAGAGAAAATAGAGATCCGGATCCTCTCACATTCCTCTCCCTTAGCGTCCCCCGGCGACAGCAAGATCTTGCCCCCCCCTCCCCCCAATCCATATCAAATGTGTCATGTCTTCATCTCATATTAAAATAATTTAATTTTTTTAAAAATAATTACTACTTTTTGTATATGCATATATTAGGATAATAATTTAAATTGATTTTTTTATTTTTATTTTCAAAATTTATCCTAAAAAATTACTTTACAAATTTATTTAAAATAAATATTTATTAATTAGATCTAGTCAGAGTTTGAATAAGCTAAACTATAAATCCCTACAAATTTAAAAATAAAACATAATTTAAATCATTATCCTATTATATATATATATATAAAGAAGCAGTGAAATAAGATATAAAAAATTATTTTTTAACCAACAAATTTAATCTTCACAATAAATTCTTGAGCATTTAATTTAGAGTTCTTGGGCTGAACATAAAAAAAAAAATATTTTTTAAAATTATATTATTTTAATATGAAATAATGTGGCAAGATATATGGCATTATATATGGATTGAAGGGTGGAGATCTTGCTGCCACTGAGGAATGCTGAGGGAGAGGAATCTGAAAGGATCTGGCTCCGAGAGAATATGACATAATTCATTGTGCCAACTAATAAACACATCTTGTTAAAATTACCCCAACTATATATAAAATATAATTAAAAAAAAATTTTTTTATCCTTCATTCCCTCTCGTCTTTTCTATATATATATTTGAAGGAAGAGCAAAGTGAGCCAACACCCACGTTTAGCATCATGATGCCTCTCTGTCCCCCCCCCCCCCCAAAATCTTCTTTTTTTTTAAACAACAATCCTTAACGTTATGTTTAGAGTTTAAGATTGAATGGAATTGAATAATCATTAATGGAATGGAACAGGATGTAGTGGAGCAGAGTAGAATGAAACAAAATTTTTCATTGTTTGAGAATTTTATAATAAGAAAAAATGTTCTTGTATGATCATTGTTTGGGAGTTATTATAAAATAAATGGAACAGAAAGGATTAAAACTTTTTTCTTCCCATATTACCCGTATGACTAAATTTAAAGAAAATAATAATGTTTATTAAATAATTATAAAATTATAATATTTGTCCAACAGAAAATAGTAAAAATTAACATTAATGGTCAAAATAAGGTGTTTGGGCTAAATATGAAATGTCACTCAAATAGGTTACGAAGCTAGTTGGACTGAGTAGTCAAAGTGTCAAGCCCAAAATAAACATGCTGAAATCGCATCAGCTTCAAATATCAGACCATTGGCACGAAGACACGATCTTAAGTAATACCGAAATTTATGCCCAAGAGTTGGGTAAAACGGGCTAGTTAACAAAATAGAGAGATCGTACCATAAGTTTTGCGGGATCCCTAATTCTTCGGTGAAACGTGTTGAGTCTCAAAGGAAAAGCTTTTGCTATCCAACTTTATAAATAGAAAGAAGAAAAACAGAGAAGGTTAGTCAACACTCGATCAAGACTCGCATATTTTATATTCATTAGCCCTTTTTCAGTTCTTAATTTTTAGTCTGTAATTTTTACACTTTAATCAAATTACACACTTATTCTACCAAAGTCTTCTATCTTTTTACATCCGAGCGAACTGTAGTAAGGAATCTTGAGACCCTTTTGTTATCTATTAAGATTCAACGTCTCTAGTATGCCTAGTATTTATTATTCAACCACGAACAATTTGTGGCACACCTGATGGGACCTGTGTAATAAAGATAGCAAGGATGCGAAAAGACAAAAGGACTGATAAAACAAGTGCTGGTTCTCATGAACCAGAAGGGATCATGATGCTGGAGCAGCTGAATATCGTGAGCACGTAGTGCCGGTGACAACAGGTAGCAGCAACATGACCTTTAGCTCCAAGTCAAGAAGTGGCCAACCCAACCCACTGATCATATCCAACGGACCTATGGCAGAGTGCTGTAGGGAATTCAAGACCGGATGGATAAGCAGCTGGAAGAGAACCAAAGGTTCTTTACAATATCCCTAGAAACATCAGGACGCAGGGAGCAGGAACAACAACAGATCATGATGCAGGCTCTGCATGAAGGCATGAAGAATATAGCCGCATCATTAAGAGGCACCCATCTAAAAGCAAGCTCAAGTGTAAGGCCACTTAGAGGGTAGCTAGAGTCAATATAGGTGCTAGCTATTGGGGCCACACACTTATAAGAGACATCCCTAACCACTAAGTATTTGCATACACTCATCCTTTAATTAATTCTTCATATTATCTGCAGGATCCTAGCACGAGTGGCCTGGGGGACATTGTGGTAATCCCAGAACGTTTGATTGAGCCTTAAAACCAACTGGTGAACATGGAGGCCCTGAGGGATGCTATTCAAGATATATATGGACCAGGGCTGAGGCTAATTAGCCGCCCTACCTTCTCAAACCTTATCTGGAGTATATAGACAGGGATAACCCATGCCCTCGGGATACAAGATCCTTGACTTCACATTGTTCTCAAGAGATGGGACACAGTCAACCTTAGAGCACATTGGGAGGTTCACAATCCAGTATGGCCAGATTGCTAATTATGAGAACTTTGCTAACTTAAAGCTAAGGTTGTTTCCAAATACTCTTACGAGCTCAGCATTCACATGGTATACGTCAATGCCTCGTAACTCAATCATCAGCTAGATAGAGATGGAGCAGAAGTTCCACATCCAGTTCTATAAAGCAGAGCTAGAAGTCAGCATAACAGAACTCTGCAAGCTCACACAACGGGCTGGAGAGACAGCAGACCAATACTTGATGAGGTTCAAACGTCTAAGGAGCAGGTGCCACTTGCCGCTTCCAGAAACTAAGTTTGTTAAACTGGCATAGGCAGGACTGGATATAGAGCTTCGAAAGAAATTTTAGGGGATGGAATTTCGAGATTTCTATGAACTTGCAGTCAAGGTATGGGGTTATGAAGAACTACTCAAGGAAGAGGACCATCGTCGATGGACTACAACTAGGAACTATTTTGGGGATTTAGATGTAGCGGTGGCAAAACTGAAGAATGCTGGTAATTACATATGACCAGCTCTAGTTAGGAAGACCGAAAAATTGCCCAAAAAACCGAACGCAGTCTAATACACCTTTGATACTACTAAAACAGAGGAAATTTTTGATTTTCTCCTCAAGAAAAACTTCATCTCCCTGCCCATGAATCATAAGATTCCTTCGAAGGAAGAATAGAGAGGGAAGGAATATTGTAAGTATAATCACTCGTGGAGCCACAGCACTAAGGTGTGCTGGGGATTCAAGAACATCGTACAGGACCAGATCAATAAGGGAGTTCTAAAATTCCCTAAGGAAGAATCCATGGTAGTAGACGAGGACTCATTTCCCCTATTTACTACGGTTAACATGGTGGAGATAACCTTTGACAAACGAAGGCTCAAGAAAAGTGATGGTAAGTATAAGGATGGGAACCTTGGAACGTTTGGAACAGGGGTGAAGAGACTCAAAGAAACTCTAAGACAGTATCGGATCGCCTGGGGAAGCCTACGAGTTGGTCTAGTAAGAACAGGTCTTCTAAATGAGACATAGGCCTGGAGGGGCAGAACATGAAAAGCCCGGATGGCTCCAAAGTAGTTTGGGACCACTTAGAGGAAACCCAGAATAGAGACAATTAGCAGAAAAGGAAGAAAAATGGCAAATGACCCTCAGGATGGGATGTTGGCCTAGGGAGATTAGTGATGACAGAACCAGATGGATCTAAGGTGGTTTAGGACTGCTTACAAAAACTATCTGGTAAATTCAACTTCTTTGTAAAGTACTTAGCACCCCCTGGATCAGGCGAACCATTCACTAGGACTCCAACAGGCTAGTATGTAGGCCCTTATAGCCTACCGTTACCACCGTTAATGCCGTCAGAAAATAGCACAGAGCTTCCTTCAAAACTAAAAGCCGTTAAGGGCTTGGGTAGGTTCGTTACACTGCCTAGCAATGTGATACTTCTGAAATGAAGAGTAGTGAGGCACAAGAAGTTCCCAGCTGCCTTGATAAGAACCCAGAAGCGATGTCTTCAACGAAAATGAGCTACACAGAGGTACCTTAAACAGTAAAAAATTGAGTTATAGGCTAGCCCTGACATCCAACAGGAGACTAGCAAGCACAGAAAGAAGAGATTATAGAGCCCGTCTGCCAAATTACTTTACAAGTAATAGAAGGAAAACCAAAGCAGGCTATCCTAGAGAAACCCAACGCGAAGATGACTCAGCACCTGAAGCCTTCATACATCAAGGCACATTTCGATGGGAGACCAATGACTAGGGTCCTCATTGACAATGGCTCAGCGGTGAACATTCTATTAGCCCGCATGATGATCAAGATGGGGCGAGAGGAGCACGATTTAATACCGACTAAGGTATCAATTGTAAGGTTTACCGAGACCACATCTAAGGTCCTCGGCGTACTACTATTACAAGTTGATGTCGAGACCAAGTCGTCACTGATGACCTTTTCCGTGATCAGCACCACAGCATAATATCAAGCCTTCCTAGGATGGAATTGAATTCATACTAGTAAATGTGTACCCTCTTTATTGCACCAAATACTCCTTATATAGAAAGGAGAGGAGGTAGAAGTAGTCTAGGCTGAAGACAAGCCATTCACAACAGCTACTAACTTCGTGGATGCGAGGTATTACGACGCTAACGTGGGCCCGTTTACATAGAACAACAATGGACGCTATAGTGCCTCTAACCTCACAGAGGCACGAGCCCATCATAGAACTGATTGATGATTAAAACAAACAAAGGAAAGGTCGTAGCACTCGCGGCCATCCAAAAGTTATAGTTGCACAATCTACAAGAGAAATTAGAAGACTACGGACTCAAGATCTATGGGATCGAAGTTGTATATGAAGATAAGACCTAGAAGGTATCATAACTGCACGAGCTAGACCCTGCACCTCTAAAAATCAAAGACATAGCCCTAAAAATCCAAGATCCACTAGAAGAAGTAAACCTTGGATCCCCATAAGAGCAAAGGATGACATTCATTAGCTTACTGCTAGATAAAGAAAAGAGGCATG